TGTACTACAAAGCTACAGTAATCAAGACCATGTCTTACTAGCATAGGATAAACATGGGTCGATGAGATAGAATTGAGAGTCTAGAAATAAGCCCTCTTGTTTACTGTTAATTGATTTTTTTTGGTATGGGATGCCAAAAGATATTGGTGGGGCTGTGTAGTCTTTTCAACAAATGGTGCTGGGACAACAGGATTGCCACATATATAGCACTGACGTTATACTCACCTCACCATAAACAAGCAGTAACTTAAAATGGATCAAAGACCTAAATTTAAGAGCTAAAATGATAAAACTCTTAGAAGAAAAATAGAAATCTTTGTCACCTTGAGTTAAGCAGCAGTTTCTTATATGGGACACCAGAAGCAAAAGCAACAAAAGAAAACAGATTAATTTGACTTCATCAAAATTAAAAACTATTTTGTGTCAAAGGACACCGTCAAGAGTGAAAAGACAACCCATGCAATGGGAGAAAATACTTGCAAATCACATATCTTATAAGAGACTGGTATCCAGAGTATATGAAGAGATCCTGTAACTCAAAAACAGACCAATAAACACCCAGTTCAAAAATAAGTAAAGGACTTGAGTAGACATTCCTTCAAGGAAGATAAACAAATGGCCAAAAAATACTTAAGAAAATGTTCAACATCACTAGTCATTAGGAAAATGCAAATCAGAACCACCGTGAGATACTCATACTCATGGTGGCTGTAATAAAAGAAAAACAATAAGGAAGAAAACAGGCCAGACCTGCAACATTTGCCTGGAAGTCTACTCAGCCAAACACCCAAGTCCATTGTTTACAAGTTCTGCCTTCCGTACAAATAGGATACAATTCAGCTAACCTGCCATTGTGCGGCAGGGATTCTTTTTGCTCTAGTTTCCAAAATGTTGCTCATTTCCTGAGCCCTCAGAAACACCTTTAACGTTCATCCTCCTACCAAACTTTCTGTTTGTGGTGATACTGTACCTTCTCCAGGATGATGTGCTTTCTCTACCAGTTCCTCACTTCCCTCCGAGTCCTGAGTGGCAGAGGCTTTAACCTCCGTGTTTCCACAGCAGCGTTCCCTATTGCCTGGCCACGCCTGCCTGCCCCTGACTTCTTGGGCACTGGGTGTTAGCTTGAAAGAGCAGAGGGTGCAGCGGTCGTGTCAGCAAGAATATGTCTGAGATGGTGCCTTGTGTTTGTATAGCTGGATGTCTCCGTTTTCTCATGAGGCCGCAGTTGGTCAGGAGTTTGCAGAGTGATAGCCTGACTCTTCTCATATAGCTCCCCATCCACTTATCATCCACTGGGCCCATCATTTAACTGGGCATCACAAACGGTAATTGTCCTTAATTCTGGCTTTTCTTCATCAACCAGGACTACTTGGTTGCTTGAAATTCAGCCTGCTCAGGACCACCAGGGTAGCTTTCTGTCCATTACTCACTTCCAGCACAAGGAGGCTCTGGTACCCGCAGCAGTGACTGATGGTGGGGGGTGAGGGTGGGCTCTCTAATGAGAATCATACGAACTTGGGCCCTCTGTCTATGGTGTTTTAGTCCATTGCAGTTGTTCGTTTTGATGCTTAGACGGTCCCGTCCTCACCTGGCGGCAGCCCCCAGGCACCCTCCTGTCTCCCTTACCCTGACTCCTTTAGTCTTTTCTTGCCTGCTTGCATCTGGGCCTGGGGTCAGCGTTCCTTTAAGGAACCTTGGTTTCCTTTTTGAGGGTGAAGTAAGTGGTATTTAGAGCACGCAGTGAGGGCACTGTGCTGCTCAGGGCTTCTGTGCCTTACTGTGAACTGAGCTAAGAAGTAAAACATTTTTGAAATAACATCCTCAAAAAACCATTATTTCACACTGGTACTTTTCCAATTCAAATTTAACCTTACAGGGTTTTATTTTCATTTTAAATATATATCTATTCTCTTACTATGAATGTCTTGGCTTCTAGTATCATTCATGTAATTGCTTTACTCTAAAATACTTACAGAATAATACTACCATTAATATTAGTAACATATAATAACAAAATGTGGAATGAAGTTTAAGACTTCTTTGCAGCTCTGTCCTTAAAATATATCCCTTCCACTAAGGATGTACAGTTTTTTGTTTTGTTGCTGTTTGTTTTTTAAAGTGATCACTCAAAAGAATTCTTTTCCTCATATGACTCTTATACCAACTTGATATCTAGCTCATATGTTTTGGGTTATTGTGAATTTTTAAAAATTGTGCTTTTTCTTTTGGTTGGGTTTTATCTTCAGTTTGGTTAAAGATATACATGTTTCCAGTGTGAAAATCATATAATGTGAGAAATCTCTTTTCAGTCCAGTTCCTGATACCTCTGGGGGTAACCATTGACCTTGGATTTTGGTTTATCCTTTCGGCATTTCTTTTTGCAGATGTAAGCAAATATATGCGTTCAGGTTCCACATAGCTTGTACAAAAGGCAGTGTGTTGTGTACAGTGTGTGGTGTGTAGTATCGTACATGTCACATATGTGCGTCTCCCGCTGCACCTTCCACGTCCAGGTGGGGAGACGTCCATCACTCTAGCTGTGGGCTTTTGTACAAGACTTTGTACAGGTCAAGTCAATGTTTAAAGCTTTTTCCCACATTTGTATCTTCTCTTCTGTAAACAAGGCATGTTAGTAGTACCTGCCTCAGAGGCGGTTGGATGAATTAAGTGCGTTAATATATATAAAGGTTTGGAGCTATGCAGGCACCATATAAGCTCCAGAGTGTTAGCTGTTGCTGTCTGGTCTGGTAATACCCAACATTGGGTGCATCCTGGACACTTAACATTTTTGATGTCGAGTAGGGAGATGGTAAAGAGTAAGTAAAGATAAGGGGGGTTGTATGCTCTTAGCGCTTTCTCTGGAGCAGTCCTGGAGAGGCGGGGTGCCTTACAAGGGGATGCCATAACCTGTCTGTCTGGACAGGGGCTAGGAGTTCTCACACCCGGGGAGGTCAGTCAGGACGCCAATGTTCCAAAGATGAAGAGTGAGGAGCCGGAGAAGTGAACAGCCCTGCCTTGGGGGATGAGAGGTGCAGTTCAGCTCCTGGTTTGCAGCACAACCCCCAGCAGTTCCTGGGTGACCAGCCTTTGCAAGAATTTCAGAGATGTACTGAACCCACAAGTGAGCCCCTTGGCAGCAGTGTGGCTGACTACTTCCTGTGCCCATTTCTCCTGTCAGGTGGGCACATCCCACCCTGCCACCCTGACCTCCCAGGACTCCTCCTGCTGGGCTGGTGCTGAGAGCCTCCACTCCGCTCCAGTCCGAGGGACGGCCTTGGCTGGGAGGAGACTGCTGGCCGTCCCTGCTCTGGGTCAGGGAGTGGGGCTGGGGCCGCAGCATGGTGATATCTGCCCAGCTGACTCTGAGCGCTGGGTCCTGGTTCTATGTGGAGGGCTTTGGGGACATGACTCTGAGCACCATTTACTGTATCTTGTGTCTGAGTAATAAGTATCCGGCTGCTTTTTAGACCTGTTGCCTCTTGTTTTACCTTTTATGGAAGTGGAGAAAACTCAACAATTCTTCTAAGGTATCACCAACCTAAGAGGCGGCCCCTGGCCTTCATGAGATGTCAGACACTGACCTCTTCGTCCTGGTCCCTTTGCACTTGGCCGCCTCGTTTTCTGAGCTTCCGTAGCCTCTCACCGCACTGCTGTCCTCCCAGCCTCCGCAGGGGAGCCACGGGCAAGAGCCCCGCCTCTGGGAGGCCTCTGCACGCCCAGCACACTGTCCGAGTGGATCGGTGGGGGCAGCTGGAGGTGGGGAGGGATGCCACGACCTCCTAAGCACCCTTGCCCCGGCAGAGGCCCGCTGCCCCCTCTGTGCCTGTTGGGCAGGCCTTGCCTGTCCCCTGGCCTTGCCCCCCGTGCTCTCCTCTGCCCATCCCTTGGGCTGGGAAACAAAGTCAAGTTTGGAGATGGATGAAGTGTGGAGTAAGATTTAGGAAGTGCTGATGATTTTACATTCATGAGACCAGTTTGTTTTTTTCCCATTTCCCTTGCAGGTGTTCTAGGGTGGTGGGTTCATTCTTTGTCCCCAGGCTCCCGGGCATGTGCTTTGGGGTAGAGCCACCACAGCTGCGGCTTGGTCCTGGGCTCTCTGGGTGTCTCTCCTGTCACATGGGCTCTCAGTGTCACAGTGACTTAGGAGGAGGGTCATGTGAATGGGGCAGAGGGTGAAGTGAAGGCTTGGCCCTTTGGGGTTGCCTTCCCAGAAAGTTGGGCATTTCATTATTGGGGAAGAGTGGTACAGCTCCTCTGAAATAAGATTTTAACTCTCACACCCCTTTGTGGACCACAGGACAAAGTCACAGTAGTGATTATCTTGAACACCCAGGAGTGGGTGGGTATCCTGGGTTGCAAAGAGGACAGTCACTGGAGGGCAGGTCCTGCTGCACAGTTCCAGGAACACTGCAGCTGGGACAAGGCAGGCCCTCCACAGTGGCCTTCACCTGCCACCCTTGAGTGGCACTGTGCCCTCCCTTGCCTGTGCAGTAAATTCAGATTAACACAGATCTCCGAAAAGCACAGCCAGGGGCGCACATCCGGATTTGCATGCTGTTACTATGTCAGCAGTGAAAAAGCAACAGGCTGGGTATTAAAAGCGAAAGTACTTCACTGCAAATAGTGCAGACACAAACGTGGCCCACCCCTGCCTGCCTCTGACCTGCCCTGTGACCTCAGGCCAGCTGCCTTGAGGGGAGCGTCGGCAGCTGGGTGGAAGGAGCAGGGTTTGAAGTCTCTTGGTACCCCTCCTGTTATTTTGTCTCTTTGTGCCTTTCGTTGGCCGGCTGTAGCTGAGCAGTGGCAGCTTTTCCCTGAGATGGATTCCAGAGGACGCTGAGCGGGGCAGAGCTGTCACTGTCCGTGCGAGTGGGCCTCCGCTACTGCCTTTCAGGAGGAACCCTCAGCACCATGGCCCAGCAGTGGGAGGGGCAGGGAAGGGGTGTCGCACGGCTTCCCAGCTTGTCTGGGATTAAACTGCTTTCTGTTTTTACTTTCAGGACGAATACCTTTCTCTGGTGGCCAGGCTCATTATCCATTTTCGAGACATTCGTAAGTAAACCGTTATATTTCTGGGTGGCTGTGAGGGCCGCAGGAGGATGGCCCTGTTGCATGGTGTTGGAGGCTTTTTTGGCTGCAGTATATGAGTCAGAATATGTGTAAAAGCGCCTGCTTTCTGGGAAAATTCTTCATTGCTTTGCATTTGATTCTGTTATTTCCCATCATCCTTCAGCCTCAAAAATGCTAATTTTGCCATAATGGAAATATTAGCCTCCAGGTGGTCTAATCTGGACTGCTGTTTTTGTTTGTCCATTTTATCTCCTTTTGCAAACGACTGTTGTTTTTATCTCTAAGCATGTCTTAAATAAGGAGCATTTACCCTGGAACAGAAACTTCCATCCCTAGTAGTTGGTTGTATTGATTGTGGAGTCTGACCTAACTATATGTTCCTGTCAGGCTGGAAGCCTCTGAGGCCAACTTCAAAGTCCTCCCTTGAGCCCCCTTCCCTGGTGAGGGTGTCTGGCGCCTGCTGCAGTCCACCTCCTCTGACTCCCAGGGTCCTGCTGTGCTCCTGCCAGCCAGGCTTGGCAGTAGCTGTGACTGTGTCGTTGAGCCGCAGAGTCAGGACTCTTGGTGGTCTGCTGTGTGTTCCTCATGAGCATGTAGACAGTGTTGCCAGATGGCCACAGTCCTTAAAGGGAACTGGGCTGGTGGGGAACTCGGGGGCTTCACCAGCGGTGCCTCCCACTTGCCTGCATGTGTGTCGGCGGGAGAGGGGCTCCTCTGGATGCAGCCTGTCTGCAGGGCGTGCGCCTGGCAGGCCCATTCGCCGCCCCCACAGCCGTAGAGGCTGCTGCAGCTTCGGGTCAGTGATCTCACACTGAGGGAGACACTGGGAACCTCAAAGGCCCTGCCTGGCCAGTAGGTTTTCCTTCTTACCACATTAACTTTTTGCCATAATGGCCAGCAAGGTGCACTTCACTTGATTTCACTTCCTTTGCTATGTTCGGGAAGGTCTTGCGGTGCTTGCTTGGAGCAAGCGGAGCTGGACCCCAGAGCCTGGGAAATGAGCGGCCTGGATGGAGACACCCTTGTTCCTCCTGGAGAGGGGCTCTCCCTGTCGCTGCTCGGCAGGCCTGCTGGGGAGGCAGCCCTGCCACAGCAGCACGCGTTGGCCCTGTGGACCAGGGGTGCGCATAGTCAGCTCACTGGCTTGTCAGGAGAGCAGCGCGGCTGTCCCCTCCAGGGCTGGGGCCGCTGGGTCTGCCTCCTGCCCAGCCTTAGGCAGACCCGTTTCCTCAGCTAGAAAACGGAGATGTCCGTCTAGAAAAGGGCTGCCTCACCAGCGGGAGCTGAAAGTGGGGGTGGTGTGGCGTTCTCAGCACCGTCCCTGTGTTGCTCTTGTCACGCAGCCAAGCCCCCTGGACCTGGGAGGGAAGGAGCGCCGGAGGAGGCCCAGAGCAAGCCTCCGCCTGGGGCGCTGGTCCCCTGGGTCAGACCTGGGTTGGCCGTGGGGGTTGTGCACCCTCTTCGCACAGACCCCCATGCGTGTCGGTGCTGCCAGTAGTGGGGCAGAGGCATGCTCATGGCAGTTCTGGGGTGTTTCTTCTACTTTCTAGGCAGGGTCAGCTCAGTTTTAGTCAATGACCTCTGCACTTATGCCTACAGAGCTGTCAAAGCTGACTGAGATATGTGGTTATGTAAAACTTTGTTTACTTTGGGGTTTTTTTCGTTTTTATATAGATAACAAGAAATCTCAAGCTTCTGTCAGTGGTAAGAGATTTTCCTTTTTAAATTAAAGTTTCTCCCAACCTGGGGCTTGGGGTGGTGGTAGGAAGGGGATTGTGGACAGTGTGTGTGCCTGGGTCAGACTGTTCCTAAAGGAGAAAGTTCGCAGAAAGAGCTCTGGCCGGTGTGGGAATGCGGGGCCACACCAGCCCCCCCTCTGCCCCTCCTCTGCCTGGCTGGCCGCACATCCAGACGCTACAGTCCCAGCCCATTCCACTCAAATGCTGTTTTTGCCCTGTAGAAAGATGGTAAAGCTCACACAATTATCAAGACATGAAATGATGAGCTCTCCAGGAGAGAAGTCTTATGATATATTCAGTATAATAATATGTAGTAAAATCTCTTAGAGAATGGCTGAAAATTTACTTTCTTAAGATACAGCATTTCTTAGCAATTTAAGAATTAGCATTTTTTTCTTTTTTTCTTTCTTAATTTCAAGGATTTATCACATGGAAAGCCTGTTGATTCAGCCCTGGTCTCACTGACTAAGTGGCCAGTGAAGGGGTTTAGTAGATCCAAGATGCCAGTTGGGAAGGGAGCAGCCTGGCATGTTGTCTATCTTCCCACGGGCAGCAGAGCCCCACGTGCTGGGTGCCTGTGCTTGCCTCGGCCCGGCTGGCTGCACCCGCCTGTGCGGGCTTCATGTCCCCGCAGGGGTGTCTCCTCATACACACTGACACTCAGCCAGCCAGGGCTGGGTGGGAGAAAGAACCCAAGAACATGTCTGGGTTCTTGGTACTGGAATATAGGGTCCTTGGGCACCCAATTCTGTGTAATGTGCAGTGGCATGGCCACACCTGTCTGCAGGTAGCCGTTTGTCATGAATCTACACTGTTGTGACAAGAGCCTCAGGCCCCTTGTTCAGGTGATGGCCTTGCTCGTTGAGCTGGCCTGCCTCTCCCTGGTGAGCTTAGTTGTGCCCCTGGCTCTGCGGTCCCCTCCTGCCTGTCTTAGCTTCTTTTGGTGTGGTGGCCCTGGGTGCAGGGCTCTGTTCTGAGACCTTCTGGGGGTGGGGGGTGGGGAGCGGGTCCTACATAGGTTTTAGATTTATGTAGGCTTTTGGTGTGAAAGGAAACTTGAAACCTCCTGGGAGAACATCTGCCCACCCCACCCCTCACCAGACACACACACCCTTCCCCAGATTCGTGGCCCTAGACTCTTGCGTACTCTTAAAGAAGGGCCTGGCATCTGTCCTTTGTTGCCCTCAGCATCCCCAGCTCTGCCTCGCCCAGCAGTAGGAGTGTACAGCCAGGAGGGGTGGGGCCTGCTGCCTCCCCTGCCTGCCCTCAAGGGCTTGTTTGTTCCTTAGTGTCAGGACCCTGGCACTGACCAGCCAAGGGGGTGGGGCGTGGTCCCTGCCCAGGAGGGCTCATGATCCCGGAGCAGAGACTGACACACCTGCTGTGCTGGCCCTGGGGGGTAACGGCGGTTACACTGGGGTGTGAGGGGCTCCCAGGACTCTGGCGTCTCACTGTCTGGGGCTTGGAGGAGGCTGGGCCTGGAGGTGGGAAGAAGTGAATGTCCCGTGAGGCCTCACAGCCTCTGGAGCCCAGCCGGTTCAGTGGGTGCCTTCCTGAGACATGGTGCCCTTGTGTTCCCACAGACCCGATGAACGCACTGCAGAGCCTGACTGGTGGACCTGCTGCGGGAGCGGCTGGGATCGGCATGCCTCCCCGGGGCCCAGGACAATCCCTGGGTGGGATGGGTAGCCTTGGCGCCATGGGGCAGCCAATGCCCCTCTCAGGGCAGCCACCCCCTGGCACCTCAGGGATGGCCCCCCACGGCATGGCTGTTGTGTCTACAGCAGCTCCACAGAGTGAGTACCATGCTTCTCAGGGAACCTGCCCCTTTGCAGACCATGCACATTTTATTCCTTTGCTTAGGATGGTATAGAGAGTAGCCTGAAGGAGTTCCAAGCAGCTCTGCAGTCTTATCTCTGTTTTATAGGGAGAGAAAAAGCTCCAAGCCTTCTTTGTGCTACCAGAAGGGTTAAGTGATACCAAAGCCCTCCTCCTACCCCTGGGTGGGAGTGGAGGGCTTGGAAGCAATTGAGGTGTCCTGGTACTCCATCCAAGGAGTTGTGCTGTATAGCCAGACTAGAAACAGTTATATCTCAGGTGTCCTCAGCGGTGAAGCAGTGCTGTGAGCATCCCACAGCCTCTGGACTGCCCCGTCCCGGGAGCCTGCCCTTGTGCCCTCGCCAGTCCTGGGTGCAGCTTGTGGCCACACCCACTGGGCTTCGCCTCCTGGAGGAGATGTCTGGCCTCTTTGCACTTCCCTCGTCCCCAGCTTGTGGCCTGTCAGCCCCCCACACAGCTACTCTGGCCAGGAGTGGAGCTGTGGCACAGGCCTCCCTCTTCTAGAACCCATCTTGTTGGACCTTAGATTCTCATTTTTGCAGTACTTGGAATCTACTTCAGTACTGCAAAGTATTTCAGTACTTTTCCCCCTTTATGTAACTTATACTTTTTTTTTTTAACTTATACTTTTTGCAATAGTTTAATAAAAGTGCCAGGAAGTTGCAGAATAGCATAGATTGCCCATGTGCCCTTTACCCAGCTGCCCTTGTGACAGTATCTTAGTACCTTCCTTGTCTAAACCGAGAAGCCCACACTGGGACAATACCATCACCTCAGGTAGACGTAACTCAGCCATCACCAGTTTTTACCTGCATTCTTGCGTGTTGGCTTATGCATTGTAGTCCTCAGATTTTAGCATGGAATTGAGTAGCTATCACCATGACAGCACGTGGAACTTTCTGTCACCACCAACAAGCTCAATTATATCCTCCTTCTGATCCTAAGACATGGCAGCTGCTGACCTGTTGTCCACCTCTGTGATTGTGTCTCTTTGCAAATGTTACATCAAAGGAATCACACAAAGTTTGGCTTTTTGATATCGGCCTTTTTTATTTAGCATTAATGTCCTCAAGATCCTCCAGGTTGTGTCGGCGGTTTGTTCTGTTCATTGCTGAGTAGTGTCTCACAGACCAGGTGCACCAGTTCATTTATCCATTCGCCCTTGAGGGACATCTGGCTTGTTTCCAGACGTTGACTGTCCCAAGTAAAGCTGCTGTGAATGCTCATGTACGGGTCGTGATGTCTCGATGGATTGTTGACTCTCATCCCTCACCGTGACCCTCTGAAGAGGGCGGTGTCGCTGCCCCTGTTCTGCCCGTGAGGCAGCTGTGGCCTAGGGCGGGGATCAAACCTGGACGCCTCACTTGTGTGCTTCCACTCCCTCCATTCTCTGCTGGGTTTCCTGTATGAGCGTCGTCTTGCTCTTCTCAGAGGCCATGTGTGCCCTCAATTCAGGGCCCTCCAGTCTCCATCCCCAGCCACACGCTTTCTTCTGAGATCTTAATTTTCTTCGCTCTTGGCTTGGTTCTTCATCCTGAGCTCCTGGGTCCCTTCTTGTCATATCAGCACACCTGGCATGTGCACAGGGCAGCCTACAGAAGTGCCTCTAGAAGAGTGCTGGTTCTGGCACCCTTTCACATTATACTCTGGTGCACTGGTTGAATATTTTTTATTGCAAACTTATATTTTATAAAAAACAGTTGAAAAATACATGAATTTAGAATGCTCCCATGATTTGTCTTGCCGTCTCATTCCTAAGTCTGTGTCTTAGAAATTCAGTGGCAAAGCTTTGGTGTCCTGCTCACACCCTCCCTGTTACGACCTTGGCCCCTATCCTGTGTTCAGTTTCCAAGGGTCCTGGTTGCCTGTGTAGCATGAGGGGTGGGTTGAAGCGGTTCTTTCCTTTCATGTACTGCTGCTTCTGCCAGAGACCCACCCTGCCTGGTCTGCCTAAAATAGATGTTGCAGCCCAGCAGGGTTTGCTGTCCCTTTCTGACACATACTTCTAACACCGTTGTGTGATTAAGGCTGGTTCAGGCAGTGCCCCTGGAGGGGCTGGGTGAGAGGTATTGCCAGGGCCCTCAAAAGGCAATCCAAGGCACGTTGTGATAGTGTCCCGGGGACCCAGGTTAATCATAAGAGATACAAACTGCTGACTGGATGAGGCTGGGGGCTGGGCTACAGGTTGGAAGCAAGATTTACTTTTCACTCATTATTTTGTTCCTCAGTGAATGTAAAATTGACTTTAAAAGTAAGTCCTGTTTCTGTCTGTCGAGCAGACTGAGGGCTGAGGAGCCCCCCGCCTCTAGGTAACTAGATCCTGGGCAGGCTGTGTCTTGGATTGCTGGGTCAGCAGAAGGTAGGGGATGCGCTTTGCCCTGCTATGCACTGGCCCACTGCAAGGTGGGAGAAAACAAGCCTGGGATCCTACTGTCCAGCAGGATTTGTGCTGGGGCCCTTGGCACCCCCAGCTCCCCACAAAGTAAGGGCAGATGTGAGGAGAATGCTCCCCTTAGGCCCGTGGGACTGCAGGTAAAGATCGAGCAGCGAACAGGATCACAGAGCAGTGGCCTGAAAGGGAGCGGACAGCCTGAGGGGGGCCAGAGACGACGGAAGGACATGGGGACACCCGAGGACGGCACGCGTAGCTGCTAGATGCGGGCTTGCTGTGCTCGAAGAAATACAGGGTGGGACTCCAAGTGAGAAAGCACTGTGACGCCACCGCGAGTGACCAGCCAGGTTTGAAAATGAACCAAGGAGAAATTGTAGAGACAGGATTTAAAGTTGAGCAAGAAAGAAGAAAGTATAGATGAATAAGTAGTGGAGTGGGTATAGCTAAAGAAAGAATCTGTGAATTACAAGCCTGTACTTGAAGAAATTACCTAGAATATAGCCCAGAGAAGAAGATGTGGAAAATAAAGAGGAGAGTAAGAAATGTGGAGGATATTCACAGAACAAGAGCAAATAATCCTAAAATTTGTATGGAACCACAGGAGACCCCAAATAGCCAAAGCAGTCTTGAGAAAGAACAAAGCCGAGGATATCACATGCCCTTATTTCAAACTGTACTACAAAGCTCCAGTAATCAAAACAGTATAGTACTGACACAAAAACATATATTCATCAGTGAACACGCTAGGGAGCCCAAAAATAAACCCACACTTACATGGTCAGATATGGTCAATTAATATATGACAAAGGAAATAATATACAATGAGGAAAGAGTCTCTTTGATAAAATGGTATTGGGGAAACAGGGCAGCTACATGCAAAACTGGATAACTGCCTTAAAACATACACAAAAATAAACTCAAAATTCATTAAAGACCTAAATGTAAGACCTGGGACCATAAAACTCCTGGAAGATAATATAGGCAGTAAACTTTTTTTTTTCATTAAGGTATTGCTGATATACACTCTTATGAAGGCTTCACATGAAAAAAAAATGTGGTTACTACATTTACCCATATTATCAAGTCCCACCCACACCCCAGTGCAGAGGGCAGTAAACTTGAACATCAGCATTAGTATTTTTTTCTGGATATGTCTCCCTAGGGAGGGAAACAAAGACAAAAATAAACATGTGGCATTACATCAAACTAAAAAGTTCCTGTACAGCAAAGGAAAACAAAACACAAAAGGCAACCCACAGAATGGGAAAATATATTTGCAAATGATATACTTAGTAAGGGGCTAATATCCAAAAATACAAAGAACTCATACAATTCAACAACACCAAAACAAAAGACTGATGTAAAAAATGGGCAGGGGACCTGAATACACATTTTTCCAAAGAAGACATACAGATGGCCAACAGCACATGAAAAGATGCTCCACATCACTAATCATCAGGGAAACGCAACTCAAAGCCACAAAACACAAAAGCTCAGTCATAATATAAACTATCCACAGGGATGAAAGTGCAGCATAGAGAATATAGCTAATGGTTCTGTAACATCTTTCTATATTGACAAAACAAAAACTATTATAAATAATAAAAAATAAAATCAAAACCATAATGAAATACCATCCAACACCAGTCAAAGAGGGTGATAACAACAAGAAAAAAAATAACATGTTTGTGAGGATGTGGAGAAAAGGGAACCCTCGTACGCTATTGGTGGGAATGTGAATTGGTGCACCCTGAATGGAAAGCAGTATGGAGGTTCCTTAAAAAACTGAAAATAGGAATACCATACAACCCAGCAATTCTACCTCTGGAATTTACCTGGAGAAAACAAAATCACTACATTGGAAAGATACATGCACCCCTGTGTTTACTGCAGAATTATTTATAATAGCTAAGATACAGAAACCTATATGTCCATCTATAAATGAATGGGAAAGGGAGAAGTGGCATGGATATACAGTGGAATATTACTCAGCCATAAAAAAATCTTGCTATTTGGGACCAAATGGATGGACCTAGAGTATATTATGTTAAGTGAAATAAGTCAGACAAATACTGTGTGATTTCACTTGTATGTGAAATCTAAGAAACAACAAAACAAATAGACTGACAGAAACAGAGATCGGTGGTTGCCATGGGTGTGTGTGTGTGTGAGAGAGACAGAGATGAAGTAGAAAAAAAACAGTGCCTGGTATCTTGATCTGGGTGATGATTACATGAGTACATACATACATATGTCAGAACTCACTGAGCTGTACCCTAAGCTTCATGCATTTTACTGTATATGCCTTAATTTAAAAAAATACTTACCGTTATAAAAAAACAAAACCGGGAAATGTGGAGGATAAAATCAGAAAGTCTGACTAACATCCAATAAAAAGACCAAATGGAGAGAATGGAAGCACTACAGTATGTGAGGTGATAGCTGAGCAAAGCCCCATGGATCCTCGCAATTTAATAAGCTGTCTGTGTCTGTTGTGAAACAGCAGACCACCAAAGGCCAGAAGAGTATCTTGGAGCCGGCGTCTGTAAGGGAACCAGAAGCGGG